CTTGAATGTATGGTTCTGTATTGCGTGTGGCTGTTATGGCCCATCCCAGATAGTCAGTTTAGGTAAGCCGTGTGTAAATAAGATTCCGAAACAGAGGCAAGACTATTTACATAGAGTTGCCACACATAGGCCCCCCAAGTGTTTGAGCAAGGCTGAGAAGGCAAAGAGAGGGTTCATTTAACGTGTGAGGGTGTGTGCGGTCGGTCGGTCGGAGCGGAGAGCGGCGAGCGGCGCGCGCCGCGCGCGCGCCCTGCCCGACAACTTCGGCCAGCAGGACCGCCCAGCCGCACCGCCCCGCCCCCCCCCTCCAGCCTGTCTCAGTTGTGCTTGGATTTATGCCTTCGGCATCGACTCACTCACTCACTCACTCCTCCGCCCTCCTCCTCCTCCGCCCTCCTCCTCCTCCTCCGCCCTCCTCCTCCTCCTCCTCCTCCTCCTCCGCCCTCCTCCTCCTCCTCCTCCTCCTCCTTCTCCTCCGCCCTCCTCCCTCCTGCTCCTCCTCCTCCTCCTGCTCCTCCTCCTCCTCCTCCTCCTCCTCCTCCTCCTCCTGCAGGTCGGCCTGCAAGTTGCGTGCAGCGCCGCACGCAGGTGTGCGCCGCCTAGCGAGCGGTGCACTGCGCCAGTGGCGCCCGCCCCCGGCGTGGATCTGTTCGGTGTCGTGGATAGCACCTCGGTGGCCCGAGGTGTGGCGCTTGTGGTCGCCCTCGGCGGTGTCCTGAGCGGGCCCTGGTGCGACGGGGGGCCCGAGGTGCGATGCTGGTGATCCCCGGGAAGTGGCGCGCAGTCCGCGCCGAGGCGAGAGCGAGCGGCACCGTTCCCAACATGCAAACGGCGATCTACATATGGAAGTGAGGGTTCGACAGCGACGATAGTGGCGACGGCGACAGCCACGACGACGACAACGACGACAAGGACGACGACAGAGGCGACGACGACGACGACAGGACGACGACAGCGACGACGACGACGACGACGACAACGACGACAAGGACGGCGACAGCGACGACGACGACGACGACCACGACCACGACGACGACGACGACGACGATGACGACGACGACGACGACGACGACCAGGACGGCGACAGCGGCGACGACGCCGACGCGGAGCCGTCGCGGGGCCAGCGCGGGAGGTGGGGCTCCGACCGCGGGGCCTGCCCGGGGAGGGGCACGGCGCCAGCTCGAAGGAAAGGGCACGGCGTGAGCATACACTGCTTGGCGCTCCGCGCGGGGTTCTCCTCCTCCTCCTCCCTCCTCTTGCTCCCTTCTCCTCCTCCTTCTCCCCCTCCACCTCGTCCTCCCCCTCCTCCTCCTCCTCCTCCTCCTCCTCCTCCTCCTCCTTCTCCTCCTCCTCCTCCCCCTCCTCCTCTTCGTCCTCCTTCCTCCTCCTCCTCCTCCTGCCTCATCCTCCCTCCTCCTCTTCTCTCCCTGCCTCCTCCTCCTCCCCCTCCTCCTCCCCCTCCTCCTCCCTCCTCCTCCTCCTCCTCCTCCTCCTCTTCCTCCTCCTCCTTTTGTTTCCTCCTCCTCCCCCCGTCACCCCGTTTTTTCGAAAAAGAAAAAACACCATCAACATGTTGGCGCTCCGCGCCCGCGTTTCTCTTTGCAGGCACGCCCCGCTGACCGAATAAGCGATGCGTCGGAGGAGGAACCGGTACCCATACCGTTATCTTTCGCTCGTTTTCCCCTTTTGGGGCCTCCTGGGAGGCCTTCGTTCCTCCTCCTCCTCCTCCTCCTCCTACTACTACTACTACTGCTACTACCACTACCACTACTACTACTACTACTACTACTACTACTACTACTACTACTACTACTACTACTACTACTACTACTACTACTACTACTACTACTACTACTACTACTACTACTACTACTACTACTACTACTACTACTACTACTACTACTACTACTACTACTACTACTACTACTACTACTACTACTACTACTACTACTACTACTACTACTACTACTACTACTACTACTACTACTACTACTACTACTACTACTACTACTACTACTACTACTACTACTACTACTACTACTACTACTACTACTACCACTACTACCACCACTACTACTACTACTACTACTACTACTACTACTACTACTACTACTACTACTACTACTTCTGACTACTACTACTGACTACTACTACTACTACTACTACTACTACTACTACTACTACTACTACTACTACTACTACTACTACTACTACTACTACTACTACTAATACCACTACTACTACTACTACTACTACTACTACCACTACTACTACTACTACTACTACTACTACTACTACTACTACTACTACTACTACTACTACTACTACGACTACTACTACTACTACTACTACTACTACTACTACTACTACTACTACTACTACTACTACTACTACTACTACTACTACTACTACTACTACTACTACTACTACTACTACTACTACTACTACTACTACTACTACTACTACTACTACTACTACTACTACTACTACTACTACTACTACTACTACTACTACTACTACTACTACTACTACTACTACTACTACTACTACTACTACTACTACTACTACTACTACTACTACTACTACTACTACTACTACTACTACTACTACTACTCTCTTCTCCTCATTCCTTCGAAAAAGAAAAATCGCCATAAACAGAAATTGTTTGGCGCTCCGCGCGGATTTCTGGAATCCGCGCTGGGCCCCCCCCGGCGGCGCTTCCGGCGCCACCCCTGGCGCCTTCCGCGCGCCAGGGAAGGGCAGATCCAAGAAATCCGCGCGGAGCGCCAAAAGTTTCTGTTTATGCCGACGTTTCTTTTTCTCTACCGCTGTTCGAATAAGAGACGCGGGGGCCCGCGCCGCCACGCGGGCGAATGGCTGGGCGTGAACTGTCGCGTGCTCTCTGCTGCAGGCTGTCCTGGTCGGTGAGAGTCGGGCGTGACGCCCGTGTCGGTGGGCGTGTGCTGCTGGGCATCGTGCGCCCTTTTCCGACGCGCGGCCTTGCGTCTTGGGGAGGGCGCCGCGGCCACAAGGGCACGCTCCGCCCCGGGCGCGGCGGGCTTGCCGTGGGTTGTGCCAGCTTCGTCTGCCTGGGGTGCGGGAGGTTTGCCGTGGTGTCGGCGTCGTCAACTGGGGCGCATCGGGAACAAACGGCGCGACGATACGGTAGGTTCGCGTCGTGTCGACCGGCGGCGACCCCGACGCGGGCGTTCAACGTTGAACGCCGTCGGCGACCCAGAGTCGGTCGGTGTTGAACGATCGGACGTTGCGGAAAGGGCCGATCGTTCAAGGTTGAACGATCCCCGCGGCATCAGGAACCAACGCCCAGGTCGTCACGGCACGAACCTGCCGTATGTGGTGTTGGGCATCGTGCCCATTCTTTCCGTATGTACAGTCGACCCGCAGAGTAAGGATAGGCATCCTTCCCAAGGGTACCCTTGCATCCTTGCCTCCTGGGTCCATCCTTGGACACTTTCGTTGGCCGCGTATCGCTCGAAACGCTTCGAAGTGGGCGTCCAAGGCCCTTGCATCCTTATCGCGCGTCCTTGCGCTGCGGGTTGACTGTACAGTGCCGTTTTGGATTCCTGCTCCGCGTGCGGCTCATGTAGTATACATGCAGGGATCTAGCATCAAAAACAACGAGGAGTTCATGCATAGATTTGTTCATACATTAGTCATGTATTAAAAAAAATCCCAGTAATAAAATCCCATATATTAAACACTGCCCTGTATGTGGTGTTGGGCATCGTGCCCACTTTCTCCCTACGTGGAGGAGTTCATGCATATATTTATTCATGAATTAGTCATGTACTACAAATCTTATATGTTCAAGAAACCCATGCATTAAAAACCTGCCCTGTATGTGGTGTTGGGCATCGTGCCCACTCTCTCCCCGCGTGCCCACTGCAGGCGGCCGCACCTCCGAGGCCGTGGGGCCCGCGCGCCGTGCGCTCCATCCGCGGCGCAGGCGCGACGCTGCTTCGGCGGCGCGCGGCCAGGCGCCGCCCCTCCAGAGGGGCGCTCTCTATCGGAGGAGGAGGAGGCACCGATACCTCCTCCTCCTCCTCAGCCTCCTCCTCCCTCCTCCCTCCTCCTCCTCCTCCCTCCTCCTCCTCCTCCTCCTCCTCCTCCTCCTCCTCCTCCTCCTCCTCCTCCTCCTCCTCCTCCACACTCCATCAGGGGAAGACGAAGGGGCACCGCTACCGCTACCCTTGCCTCCTTCTCGCCTCTATGGGCCTCCTCGGAGGCCCTCGTCGCCACCGCTGGATCCGCCTCGAAGTCCTGGTCCCAACGCGCCCCGGGAGAGGTCCGGGGAGCAGCGGCGTCGGTACCCTTAGGACTCCTAGGACCCCCCCGAGGGGAGCTCCTGCACCTCCGGGGGGCCGACGCACGCGCGCCGTGCCGGCGCGGCGCCCCGCTGCGGGCGTTCCAGGCGGAGCGCCGCAAGTGGCCAATGCCAAAGGCTCTGGCGATCAGAAAGCCACCGACCGTGCCGGGCTGCACGCTCCAGGCGGCGTGAGAAGCCCGACGGGCGTCGGAAGGGAGGGGCGGGTGGGCGGGGCAGCGGGGAGGCAGGAGGGAGGGAAGAAGGAGGAGGGGAGGGGAGGAGGAGGAGGAGGAGGAGGGAGGAGGAGGAGGAGGAGGAGGAGGAGGAGGAGGAGAGGGATGAGGAGGGAGAGGAGGAGGATCAGGAGCCGGAGCAGGAGCAGGAGCAGGAGCAGGAGGAGGGAGGAGGAGGAGGAGCAGGAGGCAGGAGGAGGAGGGGAGGGAGCGGAGGAGGAGAGGAGGAGAAGGATGAGGATGAGGGAGGAGGAGGAGGAGGAGGAGGAGGAGGGAGGAGGAGGAGGGAGACAGAGAGAGAGAGAGGGGGGGGGGGCCTTCCTGCTCCGCCTGGCGCGCGCGCGAGAGAGAGAAAGAGAGGGAGAGAAACATACAAGCATACAACCCACGAGTCTCGTGGAAGCACGTTCGTGTGGCTTGCATGTGGGGCGATCGGGCAGGTGACCAGCGGCGAGGAGGTGCACTACGCCATCGACGCAATCATCGGCCAGGGCATGGCGTCCACGGCCGGGCGGGGGAACGCGGAAAGGGCGAGGAGGAGGAGGAGGAGGAGGATTGGCAATGAAAAAGGAGGAGGAGGAGGAGGAGGAAGAGAAGGAGGAGGAGGAGGAAGATTGATAGGAGGAGGAGGCTGGGAAGAGGAAGGCGGGGAGGAAAAATTGTACAGGGAGATGATGGGGGGGAAGGAGGAGGAGGGGAAGGAAGATGAGGACCAGTGGCAATCCAAGACGCATCGACGATGTTGCAACCAACCCTCCCTCCAAGTTCCCTCTTGGCAGGTCCCGCAAATAGTGATTTTCATTGCGGGGAGTGCCCCATTGAAAGACATCCGGCTGAGATTTCAGCACCGCGAATCAGTGCAAAAGTTGCGCCTTGATGATTTTGCATACATCGTGCCAGGCTGCCTTTCCAGGGATTTCAACACCGCGAATCAGTGTGACTGTTGCGTCCTGGCATCCCTAACTCGTGCCAGAGCGCCGCACCTGGGACTTCACCCATCGATTCCTCAAAACTGTGGCACAATTTTGATACGAGTGCGCGCGGCGCTAAAAACGAGAGCCACATTTTGAACAGGAACCACCCTCCGTCCTTTGAGCCTGTCGCAAACTTCATGCCGCCTGTGCGCGGCGCGAAGGCGAGAGCCACACTACCAAAAGACGGGCCGAGGCGACTGCGCGCGGCGATAATGCGAGAGCACATGTTGAAAACCACCTGCCCTCCATCCTTGAACCTGTGGCAGATTGCAAGTTTCAGGATCATGCATGGTGCGGAAGTCCCGGGCGGAACGCCCAGCCCGCCCCACAACACGCTGGCGGGTGCGACAGAGAGGAGTTATGTGTAAGGAAAAGAGATGGAGGAGGAGGAGGAGGAGGAGGAGGAGGAGGAGGAGGAGGAGGAGGAGGAGGAGGAGGGGAAGTAGCACGAGGAGCACGAGGAGCACAAGGGGCACAGGGATCTCGAGAGGTTGGGGGAGGGGAGCTTCTTACTTCCCGTCCCCACCCTCCTCTGCTGCTGCTGCTGCTGCTGCTGCTGCTGCTGCTGCTGCTGCTGCTGCTGCTGCTCACGGCGGACTTGGTCGTAGACCTGAAGCCGTCCCCAGCCCTGCCCCGAAAAGGATGCAGGGACGCAGGGCCGGTTTTTCGAGGTGGCGCCACCAACCGAAGAGGGGGGCTTCTTCAGGAGGCGAGGGAGACACGACGGACGGGGACGACACGGGAGGACCGCAACAAGAGGAGCGGACAGGGAGAGGAGAGGAGCAAAGGAAACGAGGGCGAGGAAGAGGAGGGCGGAGGGGGGAGGAGCGAGGGGGGACAGGGAGAGCAGCAGGCAAGAACGAGGCGGGAAGAGACCCACCCTCCTACTCCTCCTCCTCCTTCTCCTCCTCCTCCTCCTCCTCCTCCTCCTCCTCCCCTCCCCTCCCCTGGCCCCCCCCCCCTGGCCCCCTCCTCCCTCCCCGCCCTCATCTCTGGTTGCCCCCCCGCTCCCCTGTCGCCCCCCGCCCGCCCCCCCCCTTCGCGGCCCTGCCTCTCTCTGCTCTCCCTCCACCTGCCCCCCTCTGCCGCTCCCGAGGAGGAGGAGGAGGCGGGAGGAGGAGGCGGAGGGAGGCGGAGGCGGAGAGGCGGAGGGCGGAGGAGGAAGGAGGAGGAGGGAGGAGGAGGACGAGGAGGAGGTGAGGAGGAGGAGGGGAGGAGGAGGAGGGGGAGAGGGAGGAGGAGGAGGAGGGGAGGAGAGAGGAGGAGGGAGGAGGAGGGAGGAGGAGGAGGAGGAGGAGGAGGAGGAGGAGGAGGAGGAGAGAGGAGGAGGAGGAGGAGGAGGAGGAGGAGGAGGAGGAGCAGGAAGCACCAGAGCCCAGAACCCTTCCCCCTCTGCCGCTCCCATATTATCCTTCCTCCTCGTCCGCCCTGCCCCCCTCCGCCCCGCAAGCTTCCCCTCTAATCGCCGCTGCCGCGGCCGTCGCTGCCGCCGATGTCGGCGTCGGCTTCGGCACCGGCGGCGGCGGCGGCGGGGGTTTCGTCGTCATCGGCGGCGGCGGCGGTGTCGGCGTTGTCGTCGGCGTCGCCGTTGTCCTCGGCGTCTGACCGCCCGCTCTCCTCCACGCTCCTACAAATCCTCCTTCTCAGCGATCTCTGCAGACGTTTCCTCCTCCTAATCCTCCTGGTTCATCCTCCGACTCGTTCTCCTGCTCCCTCGTCCTCCTCCTCCTCCTCCTCCTCCTCCTCCTGCTTGCGGGGCATGGCCAGCATTGGCATCGGCGTCGGAGATTGAGTTAGTGGTGTTGTTCCTCAGCTGCTTCACGCTGGGCATCCCGTTCGTGCCCCTGGCCTTCAACCTGCGGCCGCGGGATTGCTGGGGCATGGTGGCGCGCTTCGAGCCGCCGTTCATCGTGCGCGACAAGCCGCCGCACGCAGCCTGCGAGCGCTGGGTTGGCGGCGAATGCGAGTTACTTCTGCGGCAACCATTTCCAGATCAGGGCGAGTTGAGTAGTTAGTAGTTCGACTTGGGGGGGGGCTCTTGTCGCCACATCTTCACGCAGCTCGGGGAAGTGGGGATCGATTGAGCTAGAGGGACGAACGATGACATAAACAGAAGACTCGGAGGTCTGCGCGGATTTCTCGGATCGGCGCTGTGGCCCCCTGGCGGTGCCTCTGGCGCCGCCCCTGGCGCGCTCCGCGCGCCAGGGAAGGGTCTCCAGCGCCGATCCGAGAAATCCGCGCGGACCTCCGAGTCGTGTTGTTTATGTCATTGTTTGTTCTCCTGACAAAGCACTTGCCGTGGGTGTCCAGGCGGGGCACTTCCAGCACCAATTTTCTTGGCAAGGCACCTGCTGCACACACTCCAATAGGCCCAAGCTGTGAAGCGAGCCCGTTGACAAGCACCATTCAGCTCTCACGTTTCCTGCGGGTCGGCACTGAACCGTACGCTACAGGAGCCGCCGCCAAGCCGTACCTTCGGGTCCGTGCGCCAAGTTCTTTCCGCTGGCAGCTGCTTCGCCTCGTCAAGCGCAGCGTGGAACAGTGTCCGAACGCGGGCCACGTGCAGATCTGCGGATCGGCGGCGAAATCCGAACCCTGACCCTCGCCGATCCACGATTCGGGCAACGCGGTGGGCGGCGGACGCAGGGTTCGGAACTCGAGCGCGCGGCGAAGTCCCAACCCCATCCTTAAGTCGGGCGTGTCCCCCTACAGGGGAACTTTGGGCGAAAAGTAAAAGAAAACTCAAAAATAGCCCCCAAATAGTCAAAACTAGTCCAAACATCGCCCCCATAGTATTGTTTGGCGAATTTTGAATCTAGCCTGTAGAGGGACATGCCCGACTCAACCCTGTCCCCGCCTCGCGCCGTTTCAGGGGAATCGCTGGTTGGTGGAGGCCGGGTTCGGAGGTCGCTTCCTCGGGGGACGCCGAGGGTGCCGCTCGTGTTATGTCGGGCCTGTCCCCCTACAGGGGGATTTTCGACGGAAAATGAAGAATACCCCAAAAATGTTCCAAAATGAAGAAAAAATGCTCGACAAATCGTCCCTGGATTATTTGTTGGAGCATTTCTTGGCTATTGTTGGGGCACTTCTATTTTTCGTCGAAAATCCCCCCGGTAGGGGGGCAGGCCCGACTTAACGCTCGTGGCGCCGCTGCTGCCCGACCGCCGCGAGCAGGCGGGCGGGGCCCCCCGCACGAGGCGGCGCGGCGCGCGCGCCGAGCACGGGCGGGCCCTTTTCGGCCCCGGGCCTCGCCGCCGTCGAAGGCCTCGGGGCTCGGGGGGTCCCAAATCCCCCCGTTAGGGGGGCAGGCCCGACCTAGCAGGAGGAGGGGGAGGAGGAGGAGGAGGAGGAGGAGGAGGAGGAGGAGGAGGAGGAGGAGGAGGAGGAGGGAGGGATGAGGAGGAGGGGAGGAGGAGGAGGAGGAGGAGGAGGAGGAGGAGGAGGAGGAGGGAGGAGGGAGGAGGAGGAGGAGGAGGAGGAGGAGGAGGAGGAGGCGGCAAAGGAGGAGGAGGGGGTCCCAAATCCCCCCGTTAGGGGGGCAGGCCCGACCTAGCAGGAGGAGGGGGAGGAGGAGGAGGAGGAGGAGGAGGAGGAGGAGGAGGAGTCCGTAGCCATTTTGGCTCAAGGCTAAACGCTGTGAAGGGCTATAGACGCCCGAGAACCAGTGATTAGCTTTGGGGCGTCCGTAGCGATCGGCTGCTCGCTTGGGGATTCTGCGCGCTTCCCGATCCCACGGTCACCTCAGTCTTGCGCGGCAGGCGATGGCCAATGCCGCCCCGCCGCAGGCATCGATGCTCGGCGCCCTTGAGGAGTTCGCCACCTTCCCGTCCCAGGAGATCCGTGATGTTCCGACCCCGCTCCGTGCTGCTGCCAGCGCAGCAGGTTCTGCTGTGGGCTCTGGTGCTGATTCCCGTGATGCTCCTCCGTCCAGCCGACAGAAGCGAGGTCCTGCGCATCAACCCCGCGACGATGACTTCGAGATGGTCGACCCCAACAGCGCGCTGCAGTCCTCCATCGACAACCTACGGGCCGAGCTCCTGCAACAGGTCTCCGACACCACGAAGTCCCTCAACGCCAGCCTCACCGGCCTTGCAGGTCGGGTACAGTCCACGTGTGCGGAGATGGCTTCAAAGGTCGAGCAGCGCATCAGTGGAGTCGAACATGTACAGCGTTCCCATTCCTCTCAGCTCAAGTCGCTTCATGAAGAAATCAAGAAGATCAAGGGAGAGCTCCACATGGTCAAGGAGACGCCAGCCGACACGCCGACCACCTTCCCGAAGCTCTCGCTGGACAGCGCGTTCAACAGGGCCATCGATGTCACGATCATCGTCGTTCGCTGCAAGGAGCAGACCACCAAGGCGCTCGTCCGTGAAGCTCTTGTGCCTTGGATCTCTCGCCTCAACCTCAATGACGACGAGTGGGATGTGCAGGGTGATCCCACTGACAAGCGCTTCAACATCAAGTTCAAGGGCAGCTCGCAGTTCGCGGCCAGGCGTGTGCAGCATGCTCTCAGTCTCCTTCGCCCCCAGCGT